TACAGCGTGCTGAAAACAGAGGTTTGAAACTGCAACGAAAAGGGTCTTCTTCATTAACACCTGAAAACATGAAGACGTTTGAATGAAAACACTAGTCCGGTTAAATCATGCAAGATGTTTCAGCGTGGGTGTGTTGATTGTGTAGTGAATGTGTACAACCAGGACTGGAAAGTGTTTTGACATCACAATAATCTGTCTCTCAGTGTCTTTGGCGCCAGTGCTAGGTGACTCTGTTCTGGCAGAGCCATCCAAACCAAAACTGCACCACAAACGCAAGTGTTCCTTGCATGTTCATCATTCCAAAAAGTTGGAAAAGTCACAGAGAACACACGTACAAACTCGGTTGTCGATATTCTACAGGATTCTATTCCGTAGTAAGAGTCGTAGTAGTAGAAGCAGCAGCAGCAGCAGCAGCAGTAGTAGTAGTAGTAGTACTGGTAGTAGTAGTAGTAGTAGTAGTAGTAGTAGCAGTAGTGGCAGTAGTAGTAGTAGTGGGATGCACTACTAGTAGTGGTGGTAGTAGTAGTAGTAGCGCTAGTACTAGTAGTAGTGGGAGTAGTCAGCGTCGTAGTAGTAGTAGTAGTAGTAGTAGTAGTAGTAGTACTTATCCGATGTATCATACAGAGGCATCGGTCTTGGGTTTCCCTCATCGGCTTTCAATGTATGCTCCATGGAAGACCTCGGTCTTGGGTTTCCCTCATCGGTTTTCAATGTATGCTCAGTGTAAAAACGACCAACCTAAAGCGTTTGGTGACGACATGTTCGGACAGTGCTCAAAGGTCAAGTGTACAAGCGACCATAATTTCAAGTGCACAAGCGACCCAAATTTCCAGTGTACAAGCGACAGCTCGCCCCCAGCAGGCGTGTCTTCCATTTTTTTTCAAAAACGCAGGTTTGCACAGGATTGGATTTGTTGGGGGTTGCTTCAAAGCCTTTGCACATTGTAGGTTCTAGGCCATGTGCTCTGATATTTCCTGACTTCTTTATACAGACACGCCCGCTCCCAAAACCGATGTTGGATCCACGACGAACGAAAACCTGCAAGCGGTGACCTGATGGGAGGGGCATCAAACAACTCGTGGATATGGAATTCCCTATAGCCATAAAATGTGCCCTACATTGCTCGCCCCTTCCCTTCTCACACCATGCGCCCGTCTTGGTCGATTCGAGACCACTTGAATTTGGTCAGTGGCTACATGCACTGGCGCCCTTTTCCACACCACATGGGCTTAATGTCAATTTTGTCGTCAAAAGTTGCCTAGTGTTAAATGCAATGTCTTCATGGCTGATGAAACAATTGATGGGTAGCAGTGGATCTCTCAATAAATGGAGTCCGTGGATTGGTGCCAAACGCATGCCATCACTGTCCCCCTCGCGAAGACGATGAAGTGCTTTGCACTACGGCGGTCGCCAGCTTATCCATCACATCCAGCGTCTTCTCAGTTTGAGCTCCACTTCCGCGCTGCCGCTTGCGAGATCTGCCAGCACCCTTCCTTAAATCAAAAGCACCGGTCAAACCGTGAAAGACCAATTCGGATTTTGGGGCATTATGTTGATTGCACTTGATGCATATTGATACCACGACTAAAACCCAAGACTGGTCCTATTAACCTCTCTTCGACTGGCCGACAATGTACAGGTGACCCAGAGCCATCTGAAAAGCTTGCATCTGAAATTGTACGAGGGTCGGCCACACAGTTCCCTCCGCATCCTTGAAACCACCCTTGACATAGGCTCCACTCTGCGGCTTTGGAGCTTTCGTCATTGACCATGGAGCTTTCTGCCCTTTGCCCCAGCCTTTGGACCATGTTGATGTTGTCCGACTCCACCACTGCTGGTTGCGACCTCTCCACTGATCATTCCAGGGGCTACGCTGTTGGCCATCCTGGCGCGGAGTCCACTCCCATCGCTTTTGATGATCAAGATCACGAGGCCACTGCTCCGACCAATCCTGGTCCTCCTGTTCCTCTTTTGGTTCCATCGCCGTCTCCTCTTCTTCCTCCTTTGTTTTCCACTGCCAAGCATCGGCGTCTTCCTCTTTCATCTCCGTCTCCGGCCAGGCCTCCTCCTCATATGCCCACTCCTCATCCTCTTCCTTGAGCTCCTCCTTCACATCTGTCGCCATTGCACATTGAAGCGCAGCAGCAAGCTCGCGATCATCCTGAGTCATGAAAATTGACATCACCCCTGCAAGTCAGGTTTTGGAATGGCCGCAAGGGGATTTGCCACATCCACTCAACAGCTGTCCCAATTACCTGGGGCCAGATGTCCATTTTGGGCCCCAAAAAGGGACATTTGGCCCTAGGTAGTTTTTAACAGACATCGCGGTTGCACATCTGTGGTTTTGACACATTGTCAAACCTGCTACTGTAACCCCTTCTGACCCCCGGCAAACCCCAAAACACAAACTTGTGCGAATCCGAGTTCAGCATCCGCCCACTCTGCATCATCTGTGCGGCCACTGGTGCCCGACACCGCCCGCTCATGACTGCCCGACATGGCCAGCCGCCACTGCAAAGTCCAGAAATGAAAAATGTGTTTCGCAGGGGTATATAATTGTGTTTGACCTTATGTTCACTTTTGCCAGTGGAAGCCCACGACGTGATGTCTCCCAAGATAAACGTATGTATTGTGTTGGCGTGCTCTTTATGACATACTCTTCAATGTGTGCTGATTACGCTGACATACTATTGACACTCTGCAGTATGGTTTTGTTCTGATATATGCGTGTCAAGATCTTGATCGTGCATTCACTTTCTCGCAAGTACAAATTGCCTTGTTCCTGATCGTGACCACTTAGCGTTCACAAGTCCATAGATTGAAGCAAAGTTCTCAACCCCACTGCTGTTGAGCCCAAGCATTCAACCTGGAACATTCTCTCACACGCACTGAGCGACCTGCTGTTGTTGAATAGTTACGTTCCCATGGGGTGCATTTAGTAGATTCTTCTCGACTGGGGGTTCAACACTTTTCAACCAAATATCCGAAGAAAAGTTCGGCGAGATAAAATGTTCCCAAACACACAGTGGCAAGTGAAAGTCGCACCGCGGTCGTCTTGAACTATTGAGCAAAACGAACATAAGATGTGATTCAAATACTGACCACAGAAGATATCATATTATTTCCTGCGTTCTCGGGATGGGGTCGGCAAAGTCTACAACTCCAAGGTGCTGTCTACAGGTCAAGCCAGTGATGGGCAAGGATTTCAACAACATTCTCGAGAACTAGGTGCACTTCAAACCGACTTTGTGAAACAACCTCTTCTAGGATCCTTGATGATTTGGTTTATCAGCCAACAACACTTGGGGGGTGCTTTTTCTTTGGAGACTTCTTCGGCGAACCCTTGCCCTTCCTAGCTCTTTTTTTTGTGCGGCCAGTTTTCCCCTCATCCCTTGATGATTGGATCATGGCCTTAATGTACTCCAGCGTGGTGGATTGAAACTCGACCCAAATGTCTGGGTCTTTGATTGACCAAAGGCATTTCGCAACAATGGGGCCCCAGCATTGGCCATTCTGCTCAATCCGCGGTAAGGTGATGTTGACCCATGGTGTGGCCAGCATGTCCTTGTCATTCTCTTTAACAATTCTTTTCTTGGCCTTCTTGCGATGCACTGTGTGTGTCTCAGTCTCCCCCATACTAGAATCCAGGACGTCTTCTACAGCACGGACTGATGCATCCCGTCTGAGGTCCAACATATGGTCAAAACTCTTGGTGTTGCAGCTCTCACCCTTCCCATTTCGAAGATCCATGCCCTTCCCTAAGACGAAGTAGGTCAGGTTGCGGTCAAATTTCCCCAGGCGGATGAACTGTCGCTCGCAGTGCTCCATCACATCTGGGAGCCATGGTTTTTTCATGCCCGAGAACTTGATCACCCATGCCTTTGTCAATGTGACATTGGCGTTCTCATGGGGCTCACTCTCAGAAGACATGGCTCAAACACTTTCACAAATCGGGTGGAAGACTAATCAAAAACCCTTCGGTACTGAGAGCACACAAACGAGCAATAAGCAAGGCGAGAGCTTCAATGTCCCTGCGCATGATCTTTACAAGTTTCACAGCAATGAATGCTAGCTTGTGACTTTCCAAGTCAAAAGAAAACCTGGGCTTGACAGAGTCCAAGCTATTGCACATCTTGTCAATGTACTGTGCGAGATCATGAACTTGCACAGGCGAGCTATAATAGCCCTGCTTTCTGACAGGGGTCCCAGGCCCAGGCCACGGCTTCGAAGGAACCTGGATGGCAGGGCATGGGAAAAACTGTTTTGTGAGCGCTTTCAATGAGCTTCCTGAACTCTCCCCAAATTCAACAGAGTTAGAAACAGAATGCGCGTCTGCCAAGAATCTTTTGTGGACGCACACCTCAAACATGACAGTCACATCTTGCAGTGACACACAAAGGCGACCTTACCATCGCCTCAATATACCACTGCACTTGCCCTCTCTCCAAAACTTCCAAAACTGAGCAGAAGCCAATGGTACCAACAAATGTCCGTGCCAATGTTAGGCAAACACCAACGATAAGCCCCTACGACGACAGTAGGTATATGTATATATATGTACATTGTTACATATACCGGATACATATTATATATATATATAAATTTATGTTATAAACTGTCTTGTTCAGATTGAGACGTACTTGCGTAAAAGATGGGTGGAAACAGTGACCCATGCACGGTCCATGCACTGGCTTCGCCTGGCTATATGGCCTCATCATTCGACCTCTTGGCTTGAGACATCCGGCACAGCAAAGTCTTTCAAACTTTGGCCTTGGTTGAGGCTACGCATTCACTCATGACCTTTGGTCCTATGCCTCTTGAAAGGACGCGTCAGTGGCTCCAACTCTTCAACGTCCTCATCGCTGGGATTTGTCTCCAAAGCCTGCATGACCAATTCATCCCCTTTGGCCAATGCTTTGGAGTTCTTCAACGAGGATTTTTCATTCCTGGATTGGGCTTGGAAGGATCAAAGGTGGAAGTCAGAGCCATATTGCACTCTTCTAGCTCAGCCGAACGCAGAAGAAGGGACTCACAAAACCAGGCTTGGTTTTGTCTTTCCCTCCATCCGAGAAGAAGGGCTGAATCCAAAAGACCATTGACTCACAAGTTGCCAATTTGGCATGCTTCAAGGAAAGCTGTCCCAAACACAGGCTAGTCTTGTTGCCATCCATGATCTGGCCCAACCTGCGACCGTCGAGCTTCAATGAGCATGGAACCAAGACGAGTTTGCCCTTAGGAAAGGCCTCTGTGGCAAAGACTGCCTTCACTGGTTTGACCTGGACCCTCAACTGCTCATGGACATGGTGATGAGCTGCCTCTAAGTCAAACAAGGCCTGCATGACCTGCTCGCGCAGGCAGTGTGCCAAGAATGCTGGGGAACTCAACGGCAGCAAATCCGTCAAGCCTTCGACGTCCTGAGGTTCAGCTTTTCGCTCAACCACCTTCCAGCTCCCCTGCAACAATGTTGCAATCTTGAAGGTTGCTTTCCCCGAGATGGGACCATCCTCGACCTCAACAAGGACATTGTCCTTGGAAAAGGAATTGATCTGAGCCAGCGTTTGATCCTTTTTGCGCTGGATGTAAACCCCTGGTTCAAAACCAGCCTCTCGAGCGAATTGGGAAGGCTCCAGCGTGCCATCGGAATTGAATCGCCTGATCCTTGGCACCGCTGCTGGGAACATAACCCCAACCCCCCACCAATCACCAACCGACCGAAGTCAATGAATAACATGCCAATAGAAAAGTGACTGCGCTTAACAAACACTAGGGCTCGTATTTGTCTCTGTCTTTTCTTTGGGGGCATCAGCGCAATCTTCCTTGAAGGCGTCCCACTCTGAGCAAAGACGAACATGCTTGGCAGTCTCAAGCTTGTCCATCAGCCGACAGGCTGCAGCTTCCTGGCAATCAGAGATCTTCACCTCACTGTGTCGCTTCCCAAGCATAGCTAGCACCAAGTCTGTTTCGAACTCCGCCATCAACATGTGCACACCTGGGTCGCAAGCACCGTGACTCTCAACCAGTGACCAGCAGCGCCGAATCAGGCCATTGGCCTTGTCAGCCTGTGGCTTGAACTCTCGACTGGTGAGCGCTCGCTTCACATCCTGCGGTGTGATCTTCAGCGGGCTCGGGCTCATGTAGGCAGCCCCAAGCAAAGCCTAAGGTGACGCAATCCACTTTACAACAATATAACATGTGTATGTGTATACATATATTGTATATATATATTTATTTATTTTTATGGAGCTGCACGCTCTGAAGTAAGTGGCCGGGCTATAACAGTTTTGGCCGCCACTGTCATCTCCAAGGTCAATCACCAAAACATGAATAGGTGAACCCTCTGAGACAAACCTTGTCGTTGATAGTTTGGCATTTGTCTCGAGAAAAGGGAAATAGTGGATTGGTGGTACACGGACAGAGAGTTCAGCAAAATGGAACACATTCAGGCATAGAAGCGTGTCTCAAGTCGATCATCAAATCTTGGACGCCTTTGCCCTCTGAACACAGCGCCTCGAAGAAGTCACCCCCAAGCTGCTTGCTTGAGGAACATTGTTGCTTGACTGCCTTCTCCACCCTGTCAAGCAAACCTGGAGCTCCGGCTGAGAACTTCACAATGAACCGGTGCATGAAGGGTGCTGCAGGAGCGCACACTGGCTTGCTACGCAGCAGGGAGTCTTTCAAGTCTTTATAGGAGCAGGGGCCCTTGCGCTTTTCTGCGCTGCTCACCATGTTCCCAATTCTCTTGAGAAGCTGCAGCTCGTGCTCTCCTTTAGCCAGGTGCCCACTGGCGTTTGAAGCGCTCTGGATTAGCCCCTTCATCTCTGGGAACTCTCGAAGAGGTTCAAAGCTGATGACCCGCCAACGCAGTCCGCTTGTGACTGCTTCTGCGTAGAGAGGGTCGATGTCCTTGATCACATCCAAGCTCAGGCGGCCTGATGAGTGCACCAGCTCTGCAATGTCGGATTTACACCCTGCTGCAATGCATCGAAGACCGGCATTGAGGTGGGACCCTGCCAGTGACGTAAACCTCATGTGAGGGCATGGAGGCAAGTAGCCCTGCGCTTCCATTGTAAGCCTTTCGTTGAAGGCGAGTGGCTCCCGGTCAAACGGATCGAGCTCCGCGCAAACCGGAGCCGTCTCAGAACTGCAGAAGCCAACTTCTGTGATCGAACGAATCAGGTCATGGCAATCCTTCACACTGATCCCAAAACCATCTCGATTGTGTGGGTCAGTGCCAATCAGGTGCGGTTCGATGCGCATGAACCTGCACATGGAGTGCCTCTCAAGGCACGCGTACAGGAGGTTCACCCCCTGCACCAGCCCTGATTTCTGGCACTTCTCAAGCGCTGCCGCAACCTCTGCCTTCACGGCGGCGTCCATTGTTCGCAAAGGATGTCTTTTTCTGCACCCTCTCTTGAGCCTATATCACAGCGAGCTGGAAGCCCTGCTGGAGCGAGCACTGATTGCCCTGCTCATCCGCTTCACTCCAAAACAAGCAAGTCTCTGTGTTCGTAACCTGTTACGCCTCTAGCTGTTACACCTCTAAAGTTGAACATCAACAGAAACAGCAACCCCAAAAAGGAATTCGTATAGAAACCTCGAAACGACTCGAAAACTCGCATTTGCAAAAAGAGGCATACCTCAATTCCCGCCAGACCAAAGAAAACCTTTCAAGAAAGTAAACTGGAAGGGACTCGTCCAGACATACAAAAACCGTAGAAGTCGATCAAATATATATATATATATGTATATATGTATATATATATAAACAGCGGTAGAATCGAAGAATGCCTCTCCATCTGCAGTCCTCTCCCTTCCCTCTCCCTTCCCCGGTGTGGCTGGCCTGCTCCCGCAGGCTGCCACAGCTCCACCGCCGCCCGTCGCGGTGCACGGCCGTGGCGGGGCGGTCGGCGGTCGGACCCAGGTTCTTGAGGTTGGGAACCTATATGGGTATCTATAATATGGGGGGGCCGCTCCATTTCTGCAGTTCAGTACTTTACAAGAGTACCCCACCTACACTTGCAACACTAAGTTTGTGCTTCTTCACACAGGAGTCCCAACAGGCGCAGGGAATAAGCTGTAGACCAAACATTAAGTGCTATGCAGGCCCTTTGTAGGGGCAAATAGATGTTGCGACAATCCCTGTTCTGGTGGCATTCTAAGTGTGGCCAACTCCGAAATCACAACTTGAAGAACTTAGGGCACATAGCTATATGTCCCCTAAGTTGTATCAAAATTACATATGCTTCTTAGCGATATCTTCCGTACGTAGCGCCTAAGTAGGCAAACTTTCTTGAGCAATCTATAAGTGACCGCGCTAAACTTACAAGTTCGCCAAAGTTAACTGTGCATCTTGCACAACATGCAAGTTCGCCAACATTATGTTAGCAGGCTTGCAAGTCTACATGGATGGCTTGCAAGTAACTTAGCAAGTTCGCTTTCTGCTGTAACTAAATACAAGCGCAGCGCTCATCCAAGTATAAGTATGTATAAGTTAAAGGGGTTTGATGCGGTTGCGGGAGTGCCATGGTGTGCCCTTCCTTCTATGCTCAGCGACGTGTTCCTTCCCAAGTCTCCAGATCCTCTTGCTCAACTCTGTAACAGTGTTGACCAGCTGAAATCTGTCAAAAAAATGTGCCCACTCAAGGTATGGAGCCGCAAGTCATCCTAAACACATCCCCCAATTCTTCAGGATCTTCTACCCTTCTCAGCTTTCTTCCAATCCTCCAAAACGCCGCCATCGAGAGGTCTAGCAGTGTCCACCCTGAGGGTGGCGGCTCCGATGGTTGCCGTGGCTGAGCCCACGACCACTGCAGCCACCACTGCGGCGACCACCGATGACAGAAGAGGACCCGGGAATATCTGGGAATGCAATCTGAAATAATTTGAATTAGGTGGTTCATGATTCTATATGATTCTTCACAATGCTTTAAGTGACCATTCTTCACAAAGATGTTGGAACATATTGGCTCATATTGGCTCAAATGAAACAAGAAAAATAAGAAAACATATGAAAACAAATGAAAACAAATATGAAAGATTATGGAAGCGTATGGAAGTGCATGGAAATGTATGGAAGTGTATGAAGATAAAAGAAAATGTATGAACGTATGAAACATATTGAAAAACGTTTGAAAATGTTTGAAAGCATATGAAAGCATGATATAGCATGATAAGGCGTGTAGTTGCAGGACCCAGGAACCGTCCAGCCTTGTGATCTGCGGGATGGCAAAGCGGTCGCCGAACTGGGACACGATCTTCACCCTGAGTGGACAGGTGGCAGCAGTCAGGCTTTCAATGCACTCGTTCCTGGATGTTGATGGTGCCCAGAATGACCTAGAGTTGATGGGGCAACAGTTTACAACAGCAGAAGTACATGGTCCCACCATGTCTGACCCTCCCAGCAACCATCGGACTGGCATTTGCCGATCAGTGGGGGCCCTCGCAACCTTTGGCAGTATGTGGGTCATTGCGGGATATTACGGGTCACACGGAGTCAAGCGGCATCAAATAGCAACAACATTTAACAACATGCACCAACATAACAATGCATATATACATATATATATATATAAATTCAGTAAATCAGCACGCATCAAGCTACATCGCATCATATCGACGCATCATATCATCACCTAAGAATATCAACATATATCATCATGTATCTACACTTGTGCCCTGACACCACTGTCATCCATTGTTGTAATTTTGTCACACGCTGCCAGCTCTTGTCAAATGAATTCCTCTGATATCCTCTGATGTCCTTTGCGCACACACTCAGCACCATTAGGCCATATTAGGCCACCCGTGAGCCATGGTAACGCGTGTTTTGGCTCAAAAACTGGTGGGGAGAGGTGGGAAGAACTCAGATCATAGAAGGTCCCAAAAGCAAACTCATCATACTTTAGCGGAACTCATCATGTCAAACATGATCAAACAACACAAAAACATTAAAAGAACATACAAAAACATAAACATAGATACAGTAATATACAGTAATGTTACCTAGGATTGCAAAGAATATCAAAGAATAACATATAGTAACAAAGAATAACATGTCAAACAAATCAGAATTAAAATTCTTGAATGGGAGCTTGCCTAGCAGGAGCCAGGGTGGAGCCGCTTCACCGGCGGCGGAGCTCACTGATGAAGTACCGTGAGACTGAAGAAAGGTCCACAGCACAGGCACCTCTTTGGGTAGGTCTACCTCAGCCTGCCCCTGCTTGTTCTTCTTCTTCTTCCTCCAAGACACCGGTGAAGCAGGCTCCTCTTCCACCATGTAGATCTGGCAAGCGCCGCCTGCAAAACATGCAGTAGACAGCCTCGCTGCACCGGCCATCGTAGACGAAGTTGCAGCATGCGCCTGCCGAGATGGAGTCCGGGCAATCTCTCTGTTGGAAACCCGGCATGGCCAAGGAACGTGGAACGTGTAAAGCCTAAAGCCGTAACTCGACAATGCAGGGAAAAACTTTCCAAAGATTTGAAGCCGAGGAACGGTGCTTTTTGACTTTGCACAAGCGCTGGAGCAGCCTTTGCTGCTGCTTTGCTGCAGAGCCTTAGCCACACAATCCCCCATTCACTCGTGGTGCACCAACACAGCCCTACATGCCCAACGCGCATCGAAGCCTTCAATAGACGGTGCTTGAATGAAAGAAATTCAAGTTTGGAACCCAGGCACTCCGAGCAACACGTGGCCATGAAGCAGCTGCATATGTGCGAAGGAGGTGGATTGGCCTGCCCTCCCTAGGCTTCTTCCGACCTGTAGTTGAGGTCGCGTGAGATGAAAGCTGCTTTGGTGCTGTTGGTGCAATACAGAATTAATGCGACTATGTCAAACAAGGATCGGTCGTATCACAAACTCTATACAGGGTTACCATCATCTACACATTGCATCTAGAGCCTGCCATGGATCCTGCTGCAAGTCGGAGCGCCGCGCCTTTACGATGGAAGGCTTGAGCGTAATCGCACAGCATGTGGGTAGTGTTCTGGGGATCCACAAGGAAAGCCTCCTTGACCCACGGAATGCCGATGATGGAATCGACGCGCTTCACCTTAGCAACCACGGTTGGTAGTGTGGACCGTCGTGGTGTTCCGTCGTGGTGTTCACGCGAGTTTGTAAGAAATGAGGTGTGTGCTTTGTAGAGTGGACCTGAAGCTGAAAATAGGGGCGGTCGAGGAATCGAGGAAGCTTTTTCCTTCTCTTCACCCGGCTGAGCGCACGGGTAAGCAGCAAAATATGCAGAAGGGCTTGCATGTTGAGTGCAACTCAACATCTATACCTGAAGACTTGGATCGTTTTTTGTGGACGGCTTGCCGAGGTCCCGTGGCCACGGCAACTTCTCTGAGCCACTTATTGTTTCAGCCTCCACCATGGCATTGAAAGATCTGACTGCACCAAGTGCGCAATGTGTTTTACAGCGTCGCTAGAAATTGCATCCCCAAAAACTAATGCCAGCATTAAGTTCTAGTTCTTCTATCTTAACTTAGAACAAGTTTCGCCCCAGGCCGGCCCGAGGGTAGTTTCTAGCAAACCTCATGTCTTACAAAACCCCTTTTCAGACACAGTCTTTTCTAACAGGAATCCAAGGCACAACTACGGCGTGGAACCTCTCAAAACTCGCCGGCGTGAGGAAAAAGCGCTTCAGCTGCTTCTTGCTGTTGCCGCCCATCGTGTAGTCCGCCTACGGGGCTTCGCAATCAATCAGAATTATCGAATTCGCAGGACCGAACAAAAAAAGGGTCCGCCTCAAAGTCCAGCTGCAAGCTATCAGGACAAAGAGTGCAAGTATTGAATTGGATAGGACGGATAGGAGTGCAAATCGTGCACTAACCCTTCTATGCAGTGCAACTCGGAATAGCAAGCCTCCACGTCAGGCACATTGAAAACCACCTTCAGATCTCGAAGGATCATGCTCCGAAACCTGAGGCCAAGTCGGTTCTCCCGGCCCAAGTTCAGGAAACAAAATTGTTTGACGTCAATCATGTTTACTACGCCTCCGTAGTATTTCCGTTCTACTTCACACGACGGCGAACTGGAAGGCGAGTGGCAGGCCGTTCGGCATCTGCGATCTGTCCAGCTCGCTCTTCATCTTCTCCTTTGTCCTTAAGCAGGCAAAGGGAAGTGTGTCGGACAAACATGAAGGGTTGGGATCCAAATTCGCATTTTTGGGAACCCAGTATTCAGGGCACGCTGCAAAAGAGCCACGAGAAAACGAACCTGAACTTTGAGCCAACTGTGACTGGAGGAAAAATAAGCAGCCAATGTCATGTGCCTGTTGAAAATTGGAGACCACCAAGAACACTGACCACACTGAGCTGGAATGACGGCAGAGTGTGGGTAGAGGCTTTGTCACGTGCAGAGAGGGGAGTTTGTCCGAAGCCGACAGGCAAACCGAAAGCCAATACCTCAATGTGTGCAGTCCAGGCACAAGAGCTGCTTTGCTCCATACATTTGCAGCTTGGCGCGAACAGTGACCAGCCACGTCAGCGCCTTGTCCACCCCACGGCCGTGGGAGCCAACCTCAGCGACACTTGTGCAACGGAACGGCAATATGGCAATACGTTTAAACAAGCTTGGCTCCAGGATGCAGGTATGTATGCGATGGAGTACGTTACATCCGGTAAATTGCGACAAGCCACGTGCCAAGGCGTCGCCCGCTGCGTGAATCCAGATTTGTGGTGCTTGGACCACACAGCACTGACGATCTCCTGAGATAGAAGAGTCTGCGAATCTGAGTCTTTGCAATGATGTACTACCTCAATGAAACTTGCCGAGAATCTGCGCGACGTTTTTTCGTCGTCTGGCGCAAGAACTCCATAAAGCCTTGAGCCTGGGCACTTGTCACTCGAGTCATTTGAGAAATATATTTAGAAGAACCCGTAGCATCAATCTCAAGCATCCTGACTCATCGACTTGAGCCAAGGAACCGGCACGTAGTTCTGGCTAAGAGTCACCATGGCCTCGGCGTCGTTGCAGCAACTCCTCAAGAACATGATGCCCATCACTTTGGCAGTGGCCCTGGCATCCTTGAAGTAGGTCTCCATCAAATAGTACAACGCCAGGCTAGCCCTATCGAGGCCTGGCACGCAAGCTCCGTGCAAGTTCCTCAGCACACATCTAAATGAAACGATTGCAATAGGGTGCTGACGCACGATGCATTCCGGAAACAGTGGTGTCGGGGGTAGGCGAAGATGCCTACGGACACTTGTGGGGCTGAGTTCATTGGTTGAAGGCGGGAAACATCTGCATTGAGACCAGAAAAGTCACCGGGTATTGAGCTTTGAGACCAGAAAAAGCAGGAGTGGCGGAGAGAAAAATGTGTGAAGAGAGGCCACGCCAGCAGCTTAAATTAAAGCAGGGCTGGGAGGCAAAGTGTGTGAAGCCGATGTGAAGCCATGAAAGAACTGTGGCCATGAGAGCGACATATCACGACCCACAGCAGCCAAGGCACTCGCTCCACTCCTTGTATCACCCTTTTGCAGCATCTTCGGATACTTGTTCAGCTTCGGCTGGAAGAGGTCATCCATCTCCGCCTTCTCACCCTCAAACAACCGCCGCAGCACGACCAGTAAGGCCTTGAGCAGTTGATGTTGGGTCAGGTGCATGGACCTGGAACCAAAAGGGTTGGCTATGTCATTTGCATAGGCCGGCCACAGAATGTGTGGAACTGCCCCGCAAAGATCTGCGTAAGACTGTTTATGCGTTGAAGGAAGGGGCATGTGAGAACCTGGACCTCTACGAATCAAAGGACTCCAATTTTGCCCAGGGTCGCTTTTGTGGCGGGACTGAAAACGGACCCTTGGAAGATGCAGGGTAGATGCGACTCTGCGTTTGGATCCTTACCAAGTCCACCGGATATATGCATGTCTATCCATGTCCATGTCTGTATGAAGCTCCTGGCAAACAAGCCAAGGGCCAAACAAGGATACCGTTCGCCAGGCATGTTTGGCTTGCTCTTGGTTGGTGGGTTCCTTCAAAGCTTGCAAGCACGAGTGAATCCAAGGAAGGTTGAAATGAACAAAGTCAGGGGGCCTACTCCGACATATCAGCGCAAACACTTCGAAGCTGTTTGACGGCGCGCCGTTGGTGACAAGGCACGCCAGCATAGACCACCGTGAAGTCCTTCAGCTTCTTCGCCAAGCCACCCTTCGACGCGCACTTCTTGCACGCGCGCGGCTGCCCAGCGCACTCACGAGCCAAGCCGCAATCCAGCCAGGCAGCGTGCCTTGAATGGCTCGAGAAAAGCACGGGGTGGTCCGGCAAAGTCGCCACTTTAGTTAGGCGCCACGCCCCAAACTTTAGTTTGGTGCATGTACTGAAACGTCCGACTCTGACCTTCTTCAATCCAAGGAACTCCTCGTCGCTCAGCTTCGCCGAGCTGCCGCCCAGCGACTTCCCGCAGCGAACGCAAGAGCGGCAATTCGGCATGGCTCAAATCAAGTGGACATTTGGCTATTGCAGTTTGCTTGCGAACCTGGACATGTTTGGACCCTTGTTGCAGGGCAGTTTTGTGTGAGTCCTGTGTCCTTACTTTGCCAGGGGCTGGAGCACGCCAGCGTACTTCAAGTTCTTGAGGCTTTGTTGGAAGTGCATGTTTGGAGTATGCAGGGCAGTTTTGCGCGAGTCCCGTATCCTTTGCCAGGGGCTGGAGCATGCCAGCATGTGAAGGATCACCTTGAAAACACATCAAGTTCTTGAGGCGTTCTTGGAAGTGCGTGTTTGGAGTACTCCCTTGTTGCAGGGCAGTTTTGGGTGAGTCCCGTGTCATTTGCCAGGGGTTGGAGCATGCCAGCATGTGAAGGATCACCTTGAAAAAACTTCAAGTTCTGGAGGCTTTCTTGGAAGTGCATGTTTGGAGTATTCCCTTGTTGCAGGGCAGTTTTGCGTGAGTCCCGTATCCTTTGCCAGGGGTTGGAGCATGTCAGCATATGAAGGATCACCTGGACAACACTTCAAGTTCTTGAGGCTTTGTTGTAAGTTCTGAGTAGAACACAGCAGCAGCAACGCTTTCATGCACTTGAAACTGACACTCAAAAAGTCAGGGTCCATTTCCCATAAACAAAAAACAGTGGAAACATGTTTCTGGACGGGTCTGTGTCAACATGTGACAAACCCTGACAAACCATACAAAATCATACAGAATAGAAACTTACATGATGTTTTACGAAAAGAAGCATATACACGCATATTGAAAACTTGCAAACTCAGTCCAACTAATATACTGATATATACTACTCATTAGTATGGTAATTAGAATGGTAATCTATTGACCTATAAACACCTACATTTACCTACATTGAACTCAACAAGCGCCAGCTGAGCTGAAAGATTTGGTAACCCTTGCCTCCCTGTGTGGCGGTCGGACATCCGGGTACTTCTCAAAGAATTCAGATGCAGCCTGGTCCAGAATAAGGGATGGGATTCTGCCAAAAGCGGGAAGAGGCCACCACTGAGAAATCCGTCAAACTCGTCCCAATCAAAACCATGCAGTGATGGGGCCAGGAAGCACACTTCACCTGACAGAGTGAAAGGGCAAGTGCTATACATTGATCTTATACCACAAAAATCACCCCCCAAAAAAAAATATATATATATATACTTGAGGCCAAGGGGGGGGGGCGAAAGCTAGCGCTCCAGAATGGGAAAGTGGAGGGCAGCGAGGTAGGAAAAAACACGGCGCTCTTTTTGGAGGCAGCCGCACGGAGTAGCAGAAGGCAGGACGCCTTGCACAAGTTGGGCGGGGCAAACGATTCCAGGTGAAGAGTCCTTTATATGTGGCTCTTTGCCCGGATCCTCCTGCGAGAGAAGAGAGAGAAGAGAGACGGAAAGACGAGAGACAGAGAGGAGAGAGAGAGAGAG